TGGCCTCTTTCCTTCACAGTGGAAAATGGCTAAAGTATTTCCTTTGTATAAAAAGGATGATCGCACAGATGCACAAAACTATAGACCAATATCTGTCTTGCCAGCCATTTCTAAGATTTGTGAAAGGGTAGTCTACGATCAACTATACAGGTACTTAAATTCAAATGGCCTGTTGACAACAAACCAGTCTGGATTTCGTTCCCTTCACTCTACAGTGACAGCGCTGTTACATTTAACAAATAATTGGTATCTTAACATTGACAAAGGCATGACCAATTTGATTGTGCTTCTCGATCTTGCCAAAGCCTTTGACACCGTTTCACATAATATTTTATTAAAAACGCTTGAGCTCTATGGTCTGAAGGGTGTAACGCTCAGGCACGCAACAGGCACGTGATTATGTACCATTAGATGTTCTAAATACTATTTACAAATCTCTTATCCAGCCTGTGTTCGACTACTGCGACGTTGTTTGGGACAATTTAGACCAGGAACTTGCCATTAGGATCCAGAAATTACAAAATCGTGCTGCACGCATAATAACCTTTCAAGGTTATGACGTTCGTTCAGCACAAATACGAAAACAACTAAACTGGGAAGAGCTTGCCTCGAGGCGTCAAAGGCACTTAAGTCTATTAATGTATGATACAGTGAATGGAAGTATACCTAGTTACTTAAGCGATCTTTTCTCGAATGTCTGTGAGAACAACCCTTATAAGTCTATGCTAAGAAATGCGGAATATAATGTTGTACTGGACCACGTTCCAAAAACAGAATATTATAAGGGGTCTTTCTCATACAGAGGAGGAATGCTGTGGAATTCTTTACCAAATGACATAAAAGCGTCCGAATCTAAAGCTATCTTTAAAAGAAAACTGGCTAGTAGGCAGGCAAACTGTTGACTACATTTTAGTATATTTTATTATTTGTACATATTTTTAGTGTAGTTGTACAGTATTTACTTCTGTTTCTATACGGCTTTCATGTAAAGAAGTTATGTAACTTATGAAATTACCGTATTCAAATTAAAGGGAATCAATCAATCAATCTCATCCAGCGACGATTGGCCCCCGATGGAAGAGGTGGTTAACTTCATTCGAACTGTACGCGGACGGGAAAGGGCTTATTATAAGCGAAACCACAGCAGCAACAAAACAGAGGCGAAAAGCAATGTTACTCCACCTGGCTGGGCCTGATGTACAGGAGATATTTACCACCTTAACTGAAACCGGGGATGCTGCAAATTACGCCAGTGCTGTTGAAGCTCTCAACGCCTATTTCGTGCCACAGGTAAATTCAGCATTCGTCAGCCAGACCTTTCATCGGATCATGCAAAACCCAGGTGAGACAGTTCAACAGTTTGTCACTCGCTTAAGGAAAGCAGCTAAAGATTGTGATTTTGGCAATGATACCGACAACCAGATAAGAGATGCAGTTTTCAATAAGTGCACTTCCACTTACATCAAACGAAAATTGCTTGAAGAAGGCCAAGGACTGAACTCAACAAGCACCCTAGAGGTTGCTGCAAAATGCGAAAAGATAGAAACCCAACTGGCTGCCCTTTCAGTAAAGGGGGAAGAATCAGAAAGTCTCAATAGAATCATTGAGAGAAGTAACCATCCGAGTACTAGCACACAAGGGCGATTCCAAGGGAGAGATAAGATATCTTATAAATGTGGTTTATTGGAACATTTAGGTCGTGATCCCCAATGCCCAGCAAGAGGCAAAACATGTAGAAAATGTTGCGGGAAAGATCATTTTGAAAAAGTCATATGCTCGTCAGGTTGGGAGTTGGGAGGGAACCCGATGTATAACAGAGGGAGAACACTCAGAAATGGTCACCGTACAAGTAGGAGGAGTAGACCTTAAGATGTTAATAGACTCTGGGGCGAAGAGCAACATTATTGACGTGGGGACGTGGGAACAGCTAAAGGTGAAGGGAGTGAAATGTGAATCACAAGCTGCTACCCCAGACAAAAAGCTGTACCCATATGCGTCTAGTCAGCCACTGCCAGTTAAGGGTAGTTATAAGTGCACAGTGAGTGTTTGTGATAGATCCACAAAAGCTGAGGTCTTGATAATTAAAGGTAGAGGGATGTCACTGCTTGGAAAGATAACAGCCACAGAACTGGGAGTGTTAAAAGTTGGCATTAACATTGCTATGGTAACAAGTAAAGCTGACAGTTTAAAACAGCAGCACCAGCAGCAGGTATCTGAAGGTGTCGGAAAACTGAAAAACAAACAGATATCCCTGGTTATAGACCCCACTGTAAAACCTATTGCACAGCCTTATAGAAAGATACCATTTAATCTGAGAGGAAAGATCCGAGATAAGACCGCAGAATTGTTGGACATGGGAATAATTGAACCAGTGGAGGGTCCAGCCCCCTGGGTCAACCTTGTGGTGATCGTCCCAAAGAACAACGGGGAAATTCGCCTATATGTGGACATGAGACAGGCAAACCAAGCAATCATGCAAAGACGACATCCAATTCCCACAGTTGACGAGGTGTTACATACCACGAATGGTTCTAAGGTCTTCAGTAAATTAGATCTTAAATAGGGGTACCACCAGTTGGAGTTGAGCCCAGAATCCAGGGAAATCACAACCTTTGCTACACCTGGTGGTTTGTTTCGATATAAGCCCTTGCTCTTTGGCGTTTGTTCTGCCAGTGAACAATATCAGATGGAATTGCTTCAGCACTGGCAGGTATTGAAGGTGTCGAAAACATTTCAGATGACATTGTCGTGCATGGTCCTGACACAGAAACACACAACAGGCGACTCCACCAAACTATAGAACGTCTGTAAGAGTGTGGTCTCACTTTAAATGCTGAGAAATGTTTGT